GGTTTCAAACTGTTGCGTAATGGTAAAACTAATGCCGTTGACAGATGTGATGTGTCAAAGTTTATTTATTTATTATTTATTGCATTTTAAACACAAAAGGCCTAATCCCAAAGGCATTCTCTGCCAGTCTACCAGAAAAAGATGTCGTTAGAATCTGGATGTCAGACGATATGAATAAAAAATAACAAAAAAAGAAACAAAAATGATTAAAACTAAACAAATTAACAAAATCAAATTAATATATATTTAAATATAGATAAACTTTACTACATCAAAAAATACAGAACGCATATGAGATAATTACACATGCCCGGAACTCCTAAAACGACCACAACCAGATCACAATCCGCATTACCTGCCCTACGTTCCTTCATTTCCATGACACGTAAGTAAGCAACATTTATTTCTTTTAAGCCTTTATTAACCGTCTCCTCGAAATAAAGCTTTACTTCATACAATTACACCAAAGAATGACAAAGACACTTTAATACTATCAAGATAATAGATGTAAAACAGTTTACGTAACACTCTTGAATATTAATATAACTTTACCTTCCTCCCTCCATATTAATTCTCGTTCAAGTTACCTACAAGAAAATGAGACGTAATATTTAGATAATTAACATGTTTCTGCAGAATGACAGTATTATGATAAATTATAACGGAGCATAATTTTCTAATGAATTTTGATTTGTTTAAACGTTATAAGTATTATGTCAATTATAATAACAAAGGACTAGCTAGGAAGTTCATGTGCTTGATAAAATAAGTCAATTAAAACGGCGGCTTTTGGTTGTAGTAGTTTAGTTTTTTTAAGATATATACAACATACTATACTGGCATCGTTGTATATAATTAAAGCTTTAGATAAACAAATATAACATTAAGTTAAGATGGTAGTTAATTTATTTAAAGTTTAATGCCCTCTGTCTCTCATTAGACAAATAATAACATTGCTAATTGGCAACAAGAACCTGGTTGACTCTTACGACCTGGTTTTTAACATCGTCGCATTCTACTCGTTGGTGATTAGAATAAGATAACGAAACAGTTCAGGTTATATATAAAAATATAATCCGTTATCTTAATAAGTGTATTTATAAATCAATAAGATTACCTCATATCACCTGTATACCACGAATTTTTTTCCGAAAAATGTAGGACTTTTAAAATTTCGAACAATAACATTTTAATAACAAAGTTTTCTCCTCATCATGATCATCAGCCTTGTTGAATCCCCACTGTAGGGGCACAGGCCTTTCTTATGAATGGTTAAGGAGGACGGGCTATGACATTCCACGCTGGCTCAATACGGATTGGAGGGTATTAACGACTGCAAATGCAGCCGGGACCAATGGCTTAACGTGCCTTCCAAAGTACGGAGTAGTTCGAGATAATATTTTTTTTGGTCACCCGTCCCGTGACCGACCCTTGCGAAAGTTGCTGAAAAACAACGACCGAGTACCGCGGCGCTTATCCACTACGCCACCGAGCTACTCACAAAGTTTTTTCCAAAGTCCCAATTCCATCCATCAAAACATGGTGTCCCCGCGATGCACTGCTCGCCACGATATCCGACATTTTGCTGCGATCCCAAACGACTCTACGTTATTAGTTTTCGTTTATGTTTTGACGCGCACACTATTTGTTACAAGATATTGTATTCCATTTTAAAACGTATTGCACTATTTGATTTTTGAATTTGCTTAGTCTGCGAGATTTAGTTGCTATAAAGAGCTCTGAATCAAAATAAGTTCTATTTTTATAAGTTATTATGTAATATAATGAAAATAATCGGAATCCAATCTAAATATGAAATAGTCTAATCAAAGATCAGGCGTTACAGAGAATAAACAAACAAAATATTATTTTCATTCATTCAATCCAAACAAAGCTGTGTCTGGAGGCCTGTGACATTTAAAATAATAAATTATTCCGTTTAAGACTTATTTCTAGAACATTTGTATTTAATAAAAGATAAATTGTAAACATTAAATCTTTTAAACATAAACATAAATCAATTGCTGTCCGTTTTGTCTAACTAAACTCGAGAATGACTGTTTTACGTGGAAGGTGAGCGTCATCTAGTTTCAAATAAAAATTTATTTTCCGATTTTGATAAACTAAATCAAATATATATGAACATGTGTATTTTTTTGAAAACTTATAGCAATATAATTCTAGTTTCTATCCAATGCCAATAATTCATAACATTGATATCAATTTCAATTTATCTTTAACTAGCTTTCCGCCTTTATTAACCTTTCTGTTGAATCACTTTGTTCTATACTATGTTTAGAGAGAATTTGAAACGCAATACTCATTAGCCGGGACAAATTGATCATGATCATTATAAAATTAATTGAAGCATTATATACTTCAGCGTATACTGAATAGAATAACAAGAAAACACCCACGCGATATTAAATAAATTATGATCTCTCAACATTTCAAATAAATACATTAGAACAACATTTGAAACTGCTCGTAGACCTGCGTTGTTTGTTTTTAATTTACCAGCAATAATAAACTAAGTTTAGCTGAGACAAAAAAATTTAAACGTAGAGAAGCGTGCTTTGGAATATGTACACATCGAGTAAACGATGCTTTAAAATTGTTAACATATTTGCTTTGCATCGTAAACGTTACGCTGAAACATTTCAGCTCGTCATAATCTATTTTTAAACTTAGAATCAATGTTTCACCCGCATTAGAAACTTTTTTTACGTAATGAATATCAGCAAATACGTTAAAATTTTTATGTTCTGCTTTGCTCCTTGCGTTGAATACATGTCGAATGTAACGACGCTCAAAATGCATACCTTAGAAATTCAAACAAATGAAAACTTATAATCTTTTGTATTCGGTGTGATTTGATCGAACCACTAAGGTTCGAATGTACTGCAATGCGTTTAGAAGTAGTACATTTCAAAGTAGTGTTGTAGCCCATAATATTTTGCGATAGATATCAGACACGAAATAATAAGACAATGTTATTATAAATTAGGTTTTTCAAAATGTCTTACAAAGTAGTAAAACTGAGCCTTGTTCCTTTTTTTTTTCAAAACATATACTGCAAAATTTTCTGTCAACTTATTCAATTTTTACAAACACTTCTGAAAGCCAAAAAGCTATGCTGTGAGTTTGCAATTTGCAAAGATCGGGTAAGAGACTCAGCAAGTACTGCGTTTTGTTACTCTTTTATAACATAAAAATAACAATAAAAAAAAATTAAAATGAAAACAAATTTCCAGAGAATTCTGTTGAATCCAGACGGGGTATGCGCAGAAAATTAATATTATCCGTTGACTATAATAGAAGTATACAATTATTTTTCATGGTGTTTTTATAATGGTGCATAGGTATAAAAATAACTTTATTTTTATAGCAAAATCGTACTAGCGATTGTTCTGACCATATGCAAGCAAGTATTAACTTAACATCGTCGAGTCGTAAACGAAGTTAAGACTTTCCTCCTTGCAAATAACAAACACAACCTCTTTCCTATGTTTTCTTTCGAATATCTCATATCAAATCATTGACAGATTTACTGACCCATGTCATCGTATCAATTTTACCTTCTCTGGTATACGCTCAGTTGGAGTCACAGTTACGTCATGTACGCTTAGCCTGCACGGATTTCAAGGAATCTGGATAGTTAATTTGAAGTGACATATTGACTAGCCAAGTAGCTCGCATGCCGGTTTTAAGGAGTTGCCATCTCTGAAGTCTCGTGTTCGATTCTCGGTCGGGCTAATGTAGGAAAGTTAACCTGAGAGTATCAGAGAAATCTATGGTTTTACGCGTATTTTCAAAGAAATCCTTACAAAATCCTATACAATTCATCCATCAATATCAAACAAACTTATATTTCGAAACTTACAAAGTACAGGAAAGTCTAATTCATAATAATAATAAAAAGTACGTTTTACGATAAACAACATTTTGAGAGAACTTTTTCTCGGTGAAAATGTAACAATGATCTAATTTCCAGGCCGACCCGAAGAAAATTGCGAACTTGGAGAAAAAAAAAACGCTTAAGTAACATTAAAAAGGTATCCTGACCTCATTTCGCTAGGAAGCGCCTTCAAATTTCAGGAAACTTAATTTGATTCTGGATGTTACGATTCAACAGTTTATAGGTACGTATACAACATTTTATTTTGATTCAGCCCAAGTACGCCAAAGTAACATTTTATTGTATTTTAATCTGTAATTCTAAAGTAAAATGTGTTATTTTATTTATTTATCTGAAAACTTAGTCAAAAGTATCTTGTTGTACATTGGGCGCTAGTACGAATTAGTATTACAATTAAATGAAATGTTTGCAACAAAAACTACAAATCTCGTTTTGATAAAATTCTGAATAAATACTTAACATTAGTTACCAAGCAATACTAACGTTCCCTTTAACAATGACATTTATATCGCATGAAAGAGGGCACATTAACACCGATGGTAGACATCCAAATAAAAGTTTATAAAAAAAGGTTTTATGTAAACTTTATCGCTGGAAATATACAAATTTTTTTCCCGTCATTAATACCATATAATATTATAGGTATTAGATAGCTTCAAATTGGTATCGGTTAAAAGTTGGAAATGAAGAGGCTCATTTGCTTTTAGAGCTTTAGTTTTCTCTATGCTTTAAAGTTTGTAAATATCTACCAAATTAATTAAAACAAACTAAAATAACATACCTTTATTTTAAGGTTACACAATAAACATAAACTTTACAATCTAATATTAAAGTAAAAATACAAAACAGTTAAGGACTCGATTGATATTTAAAAATTTTAAAACTGTGTAAGACGACAGAAGTTATTAAGAAAATAAAAAATAAAAACAACAACTCCGAAATAAAGAATTAACAACTGAAGTTAAGAAACTATTGTAAACGTAATAGTAAAATTTCTAATAATAACAAAGTATAACTAAAAAAATCAATCAAAGACTAAACCAAGTACTAAAAGTAAAATTATAACAAACTTCGATAGATCTTAATCTAAATAAACTCCGAAAACAATAATTTGGATGAATGCGGTCGCAGTTTCCATTTTAGTCTCGACAAAGTTATCTCTCTCGTGGTCCCATAAAAAGGCAACGGCGTTATTGTAACTTTGAGCTCGCTTCTGGCCAATGGTGACGACGGTAATGATGCGGTAGCGATCGTAACACAAACTTTTTATTTTACGCATCACTTCACCTGATAAGCGTAAAGCTAGCGCTGGGGAGTCCTTGATAAATAGAAAAGGTTACTGAGATACGTTTAAAAAAACAAAATATAGTCTAAAAGCGACTTGGACTTTGTACCTAGAGTTCCGCACAAATATTGAAGTTAAAAAACTATACACCGCATTTTTGGGTTTTCATGATAAAAAAATTTTTTTTTTCTGTTTTATGTAATAATTTCAAAACTTTAAATAATAGCCTTGAAATTATAAAAGATTTATGTTTGAAATGCTCACAATCAGCCTTCCTTTTGATAGATAACATAATATAATTTACTACATTTTTGTTTATTTCTACTATTCCGAAAGGCGGCTTAAAATTCATTTATTTAGGTTCTACAACTACCTTTGGGTCAGTAAGTTACTGTGTGAGTGTACCCAATTTCAACTTGTTCGGTCTAGTAGTGTGACAGGAAGGTAGGTAGGTAGACAACCGTACGATTCTTCAAGGATTAGGTTTTTTAATATATCGAATCCCTTTTAATGTATTGAAAATACATAAATAAGACTCTATATAAAAGGGAATAATAAGTTAAACTTGATCAAAATCTAGTCTAGAAGTAACAAGATCCTATGTAGATTATATTATACTGACTTTTTTTTCCACAACTTCGCCCCCGCAAATTATAATCTATATTACCCTCGTATGATGTAACTTCCCATAGGTGAAAGAATTTTTAAAAATAGTTTAGTCGTTTTGGAGCCTATTTGATACAAACAAACAATAAATATTTCCTTTTCACAATGTTAGTATAGACTTATAATAGTTAAAACGATTTTAGAGCTTCTTTTGCGATTTGATAACATCGTAACCATTCACGTAACCATTTTGAAATCCATCAACCGCGTTTTGATGCATAATAGTAAAAATATAATTATATTGTAATCTTCTTTCTGTAAATTATTTACTCCTTAGACATTTCAATTACCTGGCTGTTATATTTGTGACCAGAAAAGTTTTCGTTCACGAATTCGTTCACTATGTTAGTCACACATTCCACATTAAACCTTTCAGCTGGTTCCAACTGATATGTGGGTAGATATACAAGGGCCGGCCTTTTAAACTCAAAGCCAATCTAAAAATAATAACATACTTCAGAAATTGGAAATAGAAAGATCGAGGTACTGCGAATCAATAGAAAAGAATTGGGAAGATGACCAATTTTTTTTACTGTCCGTCAGGTTAGACACGTATTTATTTGCGATTAAGTTTCGTAATAACAATAAACTAAGGTGATACATTCAGTTCAAATGTCACTTTAAACGTTTTGTATATTGTTTTGAAGTAGCGAGGCCCCACTACTCAACTTTAAGGTCTTTATCTAAGCCATTGTTTGTTTAATCGAAGCAAAAAAACGTATCTTATATTTTTCTGTTATCTGACTGACGGACGTACTAGGATATCTTTTTATTTACCCAGGCATCATCCCTATTATTGTAAAGTATTATCATCGTTAAACTAGGTTTTTTTTTCCAAGTCATGCATATGTACTAGTTTTAAACGCTTCTAAATTTTATGCAATATTTGTATTATGACAACTGAACAATAGCTGAACTCTAAGATAGAAAATAAAGTTGATAAATAATAATGACAAAGCGAATTTTGAGTAAATAATTGTATAAAACCTTGTACAACATAATGGAGGTATACATGTATGTCTGTAAATAAAAATGAAGGTTCTGTAATTTACATAAATCGAAGTCACAAATCATACACTCTCAATAAGACCAACAGTTTTATTTGGAAGTGGAAGTAACATGGTTCCAAATAGCAGCATCATCAACAGCCGTATGACGCACACTGCTGAGCATAGGCTTGCCCCATTGATATCCACGACGATCTGTCACACTGACCGCATCCAGCAGCTTCCCGCAAACGTTATAAGGTCGTCGGCCCTATCTACTGAGCGTCATCCGGTACGTGGTCGCCTTTCTAGAACCTTTCCGCCCCAACGGCCTTCGGTTCTTTGAGCTATGTGTCTCGCCCACTGTACTTCAGCTGAGGAATTCTCCAGGCAATGTTAGTAACGTTGGCTCTCGTACGGATTTCTTCGTTCCTAATACGATCTCGTAGAGAAACAACACCAAACACTCTCTCCATTGCTGCTAGGCGACCTTTAGAGCCTTCTTATAAGCACCACCAATTTCTAGGGAAAACAAAGACTAGGACAAAAATTTTTCTAAGTTCACCTGAGATGTCTTCTCGATAGGTCTAATGCCTGGTACACCGCCGAATCCATAAGACTTTCGTCTTAATCCTATTCGACTAAGAGATTTTCCACTAATTTTTGAGGAGGACACATTGCGGTCCCCTACAATAGAAACTCTGCTCTTTCTTGTATTCATTTCCGACATTGTTGATTAATATCAAAAGAAGGAAAATGCTGTAAATAATTCACAATTTTTTGAATGATGCGGTTAATTATAAAAATATTTATCAATTTTTCACCTTGTCAATTAAAAAAACATAGAGTAAGTAAGAAACTACCGTTTAAAAAAAACGTTATGCAAAGATTGGGTTTCATAAAGAAGAAAAAGAATTTTAAATTGTCTATTAACTGTCATGTCACATTCTCTTTGATTGAAACTAAGTTTTAATCTAATGAGTTGGAATATTACCGTGATTTAACCATTACGTTTACAATACAAATTCTTTGTTGTTCACATTACACAATTTATTGTTACAAACTTAAAGTAAATTAACACTATTATGTAATAATTAGCGACCTTATCGCTTAGAGCGACTTCTTCCGGGCAACAAGATAATAGGGGTGGAGAGAGATAATAAGGGTGTAGATGTAATAATATCATTGAGGCACACTAATGATATATATAAAGTATCAAAATAAAATTTTCGCATTAAATATAAATACATACTTATATATACATATATGTAAAAGACGATGTTGTGACATACTGACTGACAGACAACGCAAAGCCTAAACCGCTGATCGTAGCCTTGAAATTCAGAAGGTTCATTCCACTAATTACGTAGAGTTGTACTAAGAACGGATTTTTGAAATACCACCCCAAAGGGGATCAAAAAGGGTGAAAACGTTTGTATGAAACTTCTTTTTGGACCCATATCGATGAAACATGGTATTTGAGTAGTTAAAGAATATGATAGGCTCTATTTAAGCTTCTTCTTCCGTTTTGGTAGCTTCGCTGGCGCAGTGGATAAGCGCCATGGCCTGCGATCTTCGCTAAGCAACTTCATGTCTAAACCATTAAATCGAGTTGACCTTAAGATAGTATATACGTTACCTTTTATTTTAATAAAGGGGTTGAAATAGAGAATGAAAGTTTCTTTGGAAGTTGTCATTGTCAGAGATATAATCATGAAACTTTACATTGAAGTATTTATACCATACTAGCTTTTGCCCGTGACTTCGTCCGCGTGGTATAGTTACTTTGGGCAGCATATATTTTCCGCTGTTGTTTTTCGAACTGATGAATAAATTATCTTGATGTTAAAGTTCGAAGATACTACAACAACAAAAATCAACAAATATGCAATATGTTTCAGCACTTTATCTTTGAAAACTTTAGAGATATTAATCCAATCCAATTCGAAACACAGATGGAAAACCAGTTCTAAAGTTTACACAAAACTTAATCGAAAACGTAATTTACGCAAATTCTTTGAAAGAAACATTAACGCAGATTACTTTAGAATAAAGCCATCTAGTATAGCGAAGCTTTAATTTCTTACTGCATTTTATTAAGCAATGGTTGCTACTGTAATATTTCAATCCTCTATAAAAACCTTCCACTTCCGTTTTCATCCCTGTAAGTGGTAGTTTTCGGTATAAAATATAACATTGTGTTTTCAGGGCCTTAAACTACTCAAATACACGTTTTCATCGATCCAAATCAAAAAACGTTTCCTCTTTTAACTATCTTCAAGGTAAAATTTCCAAAAATTCGCTCTTAGTACCTACGCAATAAGACGAATGTACCCTCCAAATTTCAAAGCTCTATGATCAACGTTTTAGGCTGTGTGTCCTTTAATATATTTTTATTATCCTTTGGAGCTTGGTCACAATAGTGTCTTTATCATAACCTGCGACGTATCATAAAACTATAGAAATAGCTTTTGCTGCTGCACCTTCTACTTAATCAAGTAATTGTTTTCCGTTGCTTAGTCACCCTACTTTTTTTGATTTGATGGTAATCACAAAAACAATGCGACATCAGCGCCTCTTTCTGAGACTTACGTAACTATTTTATGACATGATCATTACTCTTGGCCACATCAAGAAGAAGTCATACTATCAGCCGCCCACATTGTTAAACGCAAATCATTATTTGATCTGGCCAGGCCATATCATGATGAGACAGCAAGATTTTTCCATTTCATAAAATGGTTGGCTGCATCATGAATTACATACTAAGGTGTTTACATAATATGAATGAATAAATGTAATAAAATAAGATTTGTGAAAATTATCAACTTGTAAATCTTATATTAAGACCTAATGAAACGAAAAACACAAACAATTGCAATGTCTTTAATCTTAACTTGTAGCAACATGTTAATGTTTCTCATTTAAAACCCGTACAAATTTCTCATTGTATTTTTATCTCTTTTAAGTAGTAGCTACCGGGATAAAATATAACCTATTACTTTTCTAAATAATACTAATAAACAAAGAATTTTCATACAAATTCTTTCACAATTATTGACCCCCGTCGGGATGGAATTTCCAAAAATCCGTTCTTAGTACACATCTATATATTAAAGGGAATGTTTCCTTTAAATTTCAAGTTTCTACGACCAGCATTTTAGGCTGTGCGTTGTCTGTCAGACAGTAAGTCAGAACATTTCCTTTTATATATGTATAAATAATAAATATATTCATTACCATGTATTGTGAATGAACTTATACACGAACACACATACACACATTTATATGTGTGTGTCAATATATATACTCGTACATACATATATTACTATCATAGTAGGAAAAAGCGTATTAGTAAATTATTTTATTGTGTGATGTAGAATTCTTTAACACTATCGACATATATATATATAACTCAAAGGTGACTGACTGACATAGTGATCTATCAACGCACAGCCCAAACCACTGGACGGATCGTGCTGAAATTTGGCATGCAGGTAGATGTTATGACGTAAGCATCCGCTAAGAAAGGATTTTGATCAATGCTATCCCCAAGTGGATAAAATAGGGGATGAAAGTGTGTATGAAACTTTGTCAATTTTAAACCGATCGGGCTGAGACTTTGCATGTATAAAGCTACTATGATCTAGGAATCTACTAAGAAATGATTTTGATAAATTCCATCCCCAAGGGGAAAATAGGGGATGAATCTCGAATAAATATTATATACATTCGTTAGAAACGACGAATAAATATTCGTTAGAAGTGCTACTCAAAGTAACTTTACCACGCGGACGAAGTCGCGAGCAAAAGCTAGTTTTTAAATATTTGCAAAGATCGCACTTGAGATATAACCATAAACGAATAACTTGCACGGTGATCGCAAGACTCGAATGATGATCGCAATTTATAAGAATTTGAGCAGTATGAAAAACTGTAACGATCTTTTAGGTAGGAATTAGGAAGGCTTTTAGTTTCCGACAAAGACGTATAGGAAGCCACTTGAGCTCAGAACGAAAATGAGATACATGTTCATATTTGCGCAAACCTTTTGTTTTGAAAACGCTCAAGTTTAATAAGCTGGTCCTTCGAAATCAAAATAGCGAGCGTAGACATAATCAAGGATAGGAAGCAACAAAGATTGCGCTAGCGCAGCTTTAGTAGCATTGGGTAAGAAGTTTCATAGTCTTTTCAATGAAGCGGCTGATGCAAATAACTTGCGACAGTATAGCTTGCAATAGTGGATCCCAATTCAGATAACTGTCCATAAGTATTTCATGGTTCCTTACATTTGCACTACTAAGGATTATCAATGCCATCAAAAACCGATTTCCTTAGTGCCTGTAAATCAACTTTGGAAATAATTCTGGAGCCACCTGTAATCAAAACAAAATTTGAGTTTTACCCGGATTGACACCCAGATCAAAATCTTTACTCCATTCCCCAATGCATTGAAGGTTGTGTTTATTTTTAATACAACTTTAGTTAAGTTTAGATCGTCTGCATATAAGTGATAGGAACAAGGAAGAATGAGAATTGGATTTAATAAATATTGCACACAAAAAGGGAGATAATACGCCGCCAGCTTTTGTGTCACACCATGGCGAGAACTTCTTATCAAGGCGGACACAATCAATTACCGTTGGAGATATGTTAAGTGCAGCAAAACAAGAGGTACATCGAAATCAACCGTATTAAAAGCGTTACTGGCATACAATAAAAGATAATCATAAATTTGTTACGAATAAAGTTTCACTTTCTTAAATACAATTAATATATTTTAAGCACCCTTTAAAATTTATGGATATTTGAATAATCAGAAATGAAAACAAAGCAAAAAAGTGCTGAATTCATTTATCGTAAACGGTGTACCTATTATTTTTTTGTGTATTCAATGAAAATAAATGTTGATTTTCTAGTATCTTTTCTAGACTGTTGCTAAGTTTTGGAGGAGAAAGTAAACAACAGTTTTCATTAGAATAATAATACATTCTTATTAAAGAAAAACTTAATAGTATCTAAGATAAATACAAATAATCATTAAGAGCAACTCATAATTCTTGGTAATTCAGTCAAGATAAATAGCAAATACGGTAACTTGGATAAAAGCTGTAGTAACCTCCCTCTGGGTGTTAACATAGTAATCTCTTTCATGATCCCAAAGGAAACTGATCGCGTTATTATAGCTCTGTGCTCGTCTCTGCCCTATAGTCACAACAGCTATAATTCGATATCTATAGAAAGCCATTTCTTTGATTTTCCGCATTAGTTCGGTGGCGAGACTTATTGTTAAGCTTGTAGATCCCTGTAAAAGAATTTCTTATCATTAATTTAGAAAGAAGTTTTTATTTAAAAGGCTAGTTCACATTTTTTTTTATTTTATTAATAAATAGTCTATTGATATCAGAGAATACTTTTGAAAATACGGTGCTATGTTTGTGGAACTGCTGCTAGTCGGCTGAAAACGCTCCCTACAAATTCAAGGCACTAATTGACATCACAGAGTGCTACGGTAATGAAAAACGTATGGACATCTGGGCAATCTTTGTAATAGCGTTGTAATTTGTGCATTTATGTTTATAACTGTTTTGATGAAAGCTGGTACATTTCATGTAACTAATTTAATACCATGTGTATATTAGCATTTTTTATATTATCCCTACATTGTTCAAGTTTTCAAAGCGTAAAATTTTCCAAATTAGTGTTATGAAAACCATCTTGTTAATTATTTATAACTGAAAATTGTTCAGATTTTCCGAACATATAACAGAAATCTGTATATGTAGGACACAAGCCTAATCGTTTCGCGCATATAAAGCTGCTCAGTTTACAGCTAAAACATAGATTGGTTCACATTAAATAATTTTCATAAAAATACAGATAATCTTCGGTGAATACATACTTATTTTTATAAGCTTTATCTATCTAACTTTTTGTTTTTTGATAACGCAGGGTCCTTAAACCTTAAGCCTCAAATCAGGGCTCTCCAACCACCCTGCCCTGAGAAGGGCTGGTGAATGGTTGGCCTACCTGATAAAACCCGCTGCGGTCACCTCACGCGGTTGGATGAGTCCGGTATCCTGCAAGGAGGGCCCGGCCTTATTTTACTAACCTGTACATTGTACTTGTGTGAGGTGAAATTCTCATCCAACAACTCATCTATCAGTTTCAATACCTTTGGAGTGTGGAACTTCACGGTAGGATTCAACTGATACGTATTATAAAATAACAACGGTGGTCTTTTGAATTCCATTCCAAGCTAGAAAGAGAAATTGTAGATCAATTATATTCGATACATTTCTAGAAACAGGTGTTGTACTCTGGAAATTAGATTTCGATATATTTTTTAGTTAATCGTTCTCTGTCCTAAGTATTTCTACAATAAAGTAAAAATACGTAATTTAAAGTAACCATATAATCAAAGGGCTAGACTTCACTCTATAGCAGTTGCTGAATTATTTTATTTAGATATGAATAGGGAGTTTCTTATTTGACATAACATAATTAATAATTTATTTGTATATTTCTATGCTTCTAAAAATATATAATTTTATCGGTATATTAAAAAAGTTATAAACAATCTTGCCTCTGATACACGACCACTCAAATAACAATAAGAACCTGATTTATCAGAACAACTTATTGAGAGTCAAGATGAATAGGGGAATATTTAAAATCCAAAATAACAAAATCACCTGAGAGGTCCTTTCGACAGGTCTTAGCCCAGGTACGCCGCTGAAACCCATAGACTGCCTCCGGACTTTCAATCTACTCATAGATCTTCCAAATTGAGGCTTTGATACCGATCCCAACGATTTACTTGCAAGAACTGCATTCGAAATATTTCTTTTTGGTTCTTCCTGATTTGCTGCTTGTTCTTCACTCATTTTTAAATTGAAACCTTCGTTCGTATAATAAATTCTAAGATCTAATTATAATGAAATGTAATATTTGATAATATCTAATACTCCAAGACATAGACGTATTTAAGTTACTCTATGACTAAAACTAAAAGACAATAGTAATAATGTGCTTTACAATCAAGAAGTTTATATAACAATCATATTTGGCCTACGTAATTTAAACACACAAATTTATTCTTGCCAGTGTAGAATAATTAATATAAAATAAACAAGATATACTACCAATTCGATGGCGAACGAGTAATTCAAAGATGTGACATAAAGTAAATTGATATAGAAACATCAAGGGGTAATAAATTTTAGAGCAAAAAAATCGTGTCTATGATTTACAGTAACAAGCACAATATTAAATTTATTCCAGTGTATATAGAAATTTCTTCTGTAATAACCAAATACAATTGCAAACAAACTTTCTCATTGTTATGTTATCCGACTATGACACTTTTTCTCAAATAAAAGGCGTGGTTTGTGTGGTAACTCTCACCAAAGTTACAAAGGGTATCTAGCAAAAGTCAGTATAGTTACTACGCTATTCATTCCCCGGGTTTGTATTCAAAACATGCTTTCCGGGAATACAAAGAAATGTTACCTGCCATCGTGAATGTAAATTCGCACCGAAAAAACTTGAATGCGAAGAAGTGGTTTGCTAGAATAGATAGTAACATTCACCCATGTATTCTGAATAAAAACGGAAGGTTCAAGTATGTGGCAATTTACATATTTTTTTTGACCTTACTACGATAGATGTCGCTGTCTGTTAATTTCAGATGGTTGCGATTATGTAAAGTTTGATTATGTCAGTTGGGTTCATGTAAAATGTAGTTTTATCAAGAGTCATGGCTCCCAACTGCAATATCATTCCTTAAATTAATTTTCTTAGATTGAAATAAATGTATATGAATTTAGTTATTAAAAAACTTAAGCTTCAAAAATTTTGAAAAAATTAAAGCGTGGTATGTTTATGAAAACATATCACGCTTTAATTTAACCTCAATCTCAAAATACAACCTCAATCTATGAAGTTTTCATAAAATTAATTATTGTTTTTCGCGTTTTCTAAGCATGTTTTATTTTTATACAAATAATATTGCAGTACGCATATTTCCTACATTAGAAAAGTTCTTTAATTTGCGAAGCGATTTGGCCTATTCAAATCATACTTTTAACAGATTTATTACTCCTATCTCAGTATTAATTACTATCAAATAAATCCGTACAAATCTTTCTTTTTAAAGAAAATAGATTTTGAAATATGACAATGGAATAAAATAAGTAGTAATATTACAACAAGATGTACTTATTATATCAAAAGCTTTCCATTGTTCCAAACATACATAACATTTTATCTTTGCATAGCAAGTATACGTATCAGTATTGAAGAGATCCAATTCTTTATATTACACTACATGTATTACGTTACATGTCACGCGATTCCATTGAATCGCTCATTTCTCGTCCATCAACCTCCCATCGCAAAAATGTAGCTTAACATTGAAATGCAAGTGGCATTGCATCGCTGATAGCGTCCTACGTCAAAGCTTTGCCCTGTTATAGGTCACTTAAACGAATGTTCACCCTATTCATAGTTGATATAAAACGAGTATGATAATACTTTTTTTACATTAACTTTTAATGTTTCTTACAGTTCCAAAGAGGAGGTTCTGTATTTGTCCCATGTAGGTACCCTTTGACCCAATGAAAATATATTACGCACTATAGTGTGTAATGTGTATAACAGGACAGGTGTGTGGGACTTCACTGTGGGCGGTGGGGCTTACCCAATTAAAACTCTGGTGGGATGCGTTAATACGCGATCCCTCCCCCTTTCCTCCTGTGGAGAAGGTCCGTCTAGGCATCACCTCCGGACATGTCTTTAGGAGCTTCCCTTACGGACCTTCTCTCTCTCGCAGCCTTGTGGTCTCTCGCTCACCGGCCGTACAGGAGGTAGGTCATGTCACCATGAGTACCCCTACGACAACCAGAGAGGGAGGGACCCCAACGCTTAGAGGTACCTATATCATCAACGCTATGAATATGACTTAGAAGTATTTTATTTATTTAAAAATATATATATTTCGATGTATCTGTGAAAGTTCCCTTGCGTTTAGTAGGCAGAGAGAATAGATGTTACAAGGCAAGATTTCCTTACATAAATCTTTCGCTTTCTTGACATTCATGGATAGAAATATAATGGAATGTAACGGTTTATAATTGCGGTTTTTCAAACTTATAATAATTATTTCTGAAATCATTATCATAGAATTTGGTGTCCGAACATAGACAAATAAAAGCTAATGTTTTCTGCGTCAATCGTAATTTTATCTAGGTACTACACAAATCATTTTGTTTAGTTGGAAAATAAAAGAATTAAAATCAAAATCGTGTAATGGTCTCCTACGTGAAGTTGGCAGTATTTTGGTGACGCATAGTGCCATTAAAGTTAAGAAGAAGAAGAACAAGAAGGAAAGAATTAAATTGTATGTGAAGTGATCTACTTATTGGATAAGTGTCGCATTATTTCTAATCGATTTAGCTGTTTTTTTTTTTTTGTTTAATTTGTATTGTATTACTCTGCAATATTTTGTATTTTAATTTAATTTCTTTTTAATAATGGGCGTGTTCAAGTCGCATCTAAACACCTATCTTTTATATTCTTCTTGTTTGTCTGCTTCATCACTGATCACTCCCATGGCGTTGTTCCAAGATGAAGGAACTCATCTTCACCATGCACCGCCTGAAGATCAGTGATGTCGCAACCAATTAGGTGGCCGTGATAATGTTTTTTTTTTAAATTTCATTTAGAGTTCCTTCCCATTCCTGGGAAAAACCCTACATCTGAGTGCTGATGCGCTGGTTTCCGACCAATCTGCTGACCCCAACACCCGTATTACTGGACCTATTCTAGTACATCTCATCGGAGCTCTACCAGGACAGTGGATGACCTAGACCTAGCTGTTGCGGATAGTTGACTAGGGCTATAAAACTGTATCTTATATACTGAACGACATTGAGAGCTTGCCGTTGAACCCTAACCCTAGAGATCTCATGTCTGTCTACCTTTTGGAAAGTAAAAGTTTATTATAAAAAATAATTTGTTTTATTATCTATCACCTGTTAACGCAAATTACAAAAGGCCAATAACCAACTTCCTTTTTTTAAAAAGCGCGTTACAGGGATTCCAAGTAATATATTTAGGTTAAAGTGGTGACGCTATATCTGTCTTTGTCGCTGCCGATAAAATTTCAATTTATATATATTTTTAACTTGGTGAATCAAATATCATGTTATACTCATGAGAAGTTCTTTTACGATAAACTTTGCTTATACACTATGTCCCAATTGGCAATGTGTAAAATATCCAAGTAAAGTGGTACGGGGTGATACAGAGATGTGACCGATAGTGGATTGGGTTTTCTACTTGATTTAGAAACACGAGGTTCTGTCTTAAATAAAGTTAAGATTCTGAATATAAATGTTATTAGGGTTCCTTATAAAGGGTTCGGAGTTCGCCTTACACGAACCCGGATCTTTCCCCACTAGTGAGGATCATTTAAAAACTGGGTTGTCACTCGTAGGTTCACTCGTGTGTCTGTCCATCTATAATAGCCGATTTCTGAACGACGGCCATATAACATATAGACAGAAGTATAGAATAAATAAATTAAGATGGCTTAGTGGCCGTAATACGAAAAAAAAATGCATACTATAATAGGTGATTTATCATATGAACGACTTTATTTTAAGATCTCAAATATATATTTTTAAATTTGAGATTAAATAGTTTAAAGTGATTTAAAACAATAGCCAAAATTTTACTGTTTACCTTCCCTCTTATCCATTTTCGAGACTACTACGCTAGATAGAAAAGAGTTTTACATTTGTAGATCATAGAAAATCTTTGATTGTAAAAAATAAAATTGGTGTGGAAACTTTTACGCCCATATCTACTTGCCTTTCGCCAGTTCTTTATTATTATTTAACTTTAAAGATCATATTTATTGATAAAGATCAACGTGCCTTAATAATAAACTTATGAATTGTCTGTTATAATCTTCTACGAAAAGGTTATATCAAGAGTGTGTATATTTAATTAAAGAGAAACATTCACTGGTGGGTATAAGTTATTACTTACGGGATATTACATTTAATTATGGAATGTATGCCTCAAGTTTCTACTTGCTTTGATAAAGGCTTGTTGGTTTAGGACAACTTACCTGAAGGTACTTCGGTGCCAGATTGGTAATGTTTATGTACACGCGTCTAACGTATAAATTAGATTTTAGAAGTTCAATATTGAGGAGCTGAATGGTGCAGTGGTTAGAGCGTCTGGAATGCGACGTAAAAGTTCAGCCACTTTCTTTATGGTCGGTCATAGGATGGGTGACCAAAAGTTCATTATCTCAAGCTCGTATCCCGGCGGATCTGCATTCGTTAACACCCATCGATCGCTACTGATCCCATTTGGTGGGTAAAGAAAAACTCGAAACGGTCAGGCCGTTTCTCGAGCCTCTCGAGTTGTTCTCTTGTTTCTCGAGTGAGATATGCCCATGCAATATCTTATATCAATATTTATGGTTACTTTTTATGATTTGCGATTACCAATGTCAGATTTTATATAATTAGTACTTAGCATGACGCCTTAAAAAAATATATATAAAGTAGTCATGGATGTTTACATTTTCCAAGATTTAAACACCGCGCTAATCTTTAATATATATCATTCTTTAATTTTTTTTAATGTGTCTCTTGATATTTTGTTCGACAAAAATATCACAATTTTATCTCGAAAAATTATACAACTTTATCTTGAAATAAAATATTCAAAGCATGACGGATTTAATGGAATACAAAGGAGCTTTGTAAAAGTATTGTTGTGATGACGTAAGATCCTCGGGCAAGGTGCAAGGGCCTCAAGGAGTGCAACGCTCCATCGCCATTCGAGCGTTGTTACGTAATATCACACG